TCACAATATTAGCCTGAAGACTGCCATGATGTTCACAATATTATCATGCCTGATGGCACAACATTCTGCAGTCACTATGAAAAACACCTCTGTAGTCCCATGTTCAATTAAAGCAGCATCATTCTCAAGAGTTCACACTATAATCCAGGAAAATTTGCATTTAAGAAGGAATGGATAATGGGACAAATGGACAGAGTTATATTTAACAGGAAGTTTATATGGCTATAGTATAGAGGAAGAAATTCTGGTATCTTGGATAACATGGATGATCCTGGAGAATAATATCCAAGGATAATGTCAGGATAAGTATACTCTGCTAAATACCAAGGCCAAGAAGGAAGTTCTAACACAGCTCATACAGATAGTTCTTTCTTATTCCTTTTGGACACAGGCTATTGATCATACATTTGATATGAGAAAAGTCACTTCAATCTGTGTGTAGGCTGCTCACTTTCCGTCAGTTTTAATGCAGAAGCTCTGTAGTTTATGCAGCATCATTTGAGAATATTGTTTGGTCTCTTGAATTTTGAAGATCTGAAAGGGAAATCATGGCCAGACCAACATCAGGGAGATTTTGCCCAATGTTTCCTTCAGTAGTTTTACAAGGACTTTGCATTTGACATCAGAGTCTGGTTATTCCATGCTTTTTATGTAAACATCCAGACCGTGTACCCCTTGTCAGTGCTGTTATGTTGGGGCCATGCTCAGCACTGATGGTGTGAGGACAAATCACATCCACCCCCAGCAGGCTGCTCCCAGCATTCTGTGTGGTCCTGTTCAGAGCACTGGAGACCTCAGATTCCTCCATGAGGCCCTGACGTTGAATCCACTCATGGTGTGGAGTCATCACTGGATGCACTCCCCAGATGATGCCATTCCACGTCTCCCAGGCACCTGTGCATTTGATATGTTTGCCTTTATAGTTCTTTTTAAATTTTATAGATATGATATAAATTTCAAAATTTATCATTTATTAAACTTGTCTGCATGTATTTGTCCAAAACCACAAAGAGACTGAGACTGAGAGTGTATTCTAACTTCTGGGTCACTTCCCAGACGGTTACAAAAGCTTCAGCCGGGTCAGTTGACAGCCAGGTGCTTGGAATTCTGTCCAGGTCTCCACATGGCAGTGCTTGGAACTTCACCTACTGGCCTCAGAGGGGCTTAGGCAGGCATCTGAAACTGGAACCAAACCAGGACGCAGCACTAAGCATCCTGACATGGGAGGCAGCAATCCCACAGGCTCACTCCAGTGCTGCTCCGTCACCACCTTATCAGTCACTGCATGTACACAATTGATTTCTTCCCTTGGGATTCAGTGGCTTGAGTTCATTCAACATTTGGAAATAGGCTCCTAACCATATATAATTAATCTTTCATTTATTTTAAGTATTTATTTTATTTGAAAGGCAGTGTTTAGCAAGAGAGGAAGAGACCAACAGATGGAGAGAGAAGCTTCCATCCACTGGTTCACTTCCCATATTGCAGCAAAAGGTGAGGTTGGGCAAGCCTAATGCCAAGAGCCTGGAACTTCCTCCAGTTTCCCACAGGGCTGAAGGGGACAAACACTTGAGTCATCATTGACAGAGTTCCCAGGTCTGATCCCAGCAGCAGCTGGATTTGAAGTGGAGCAAGCAGAATCTGAACCCATGCTCCTGTGTGATGCATGCATAGGGATGGCAGCTTAACCTGCAGGGCCACAACATTGGCCCCCATGGGTGTCATCTGAAAATACTTTCTCCCCATCTGCGGGCGACTCCTGGTTCTTCAATCTTTCTCTTTGGTACTCAGCACATCTGTAGTTGGAATCCATTATTCATTGTCTGTGTATCTTGGTTGCCTGTACTTTGGAGATTATCAAACTATCATTGCCCAAACCAATGGGAACTTGCTTTTGTCCTGTGTTTTCCTCTAGAACTTTACAGTCTCGGGTCTTGCCTTTAAGAGTTTCATCCTGTTCACTCTCTTTGGGATACTGGTGTGAGGATGACGCATGATGAATTATTTTAGGTGCACTCAAGTTCCCAAGCACCATGAAATTCTGCATTCAGTTTCCTGAAACATTTCAGATGACCTCATTGCATGAACACATGGGAAGCACAGGTGGACATTTTGCATTCAGGGAATAATCTGTTTGGAAAGTGTGTGGTGTGGACTTACAGGTTCTTTTCTGCTCCAGTGTGGTGGAATCCGCTGCACTGCGGTGTTTCAGGGTGAGCAGTGGGGGACAGTCCAGGGCCGGTGACTCCGGGGCCAGAGTCCCCATCCCTGGGAATCTGGGTGCCAGGGGCTGCCACACACTGACCACCTGGTGAGCTGAATCAGTGTTTGCGTGATGAGCCAGCCCTGGTCCAGAGTCCCCGCTCCACCCTCCCTGGCTCCCCCTGCATGTCCTCATCAGTACTTCATCCTTACCAAGAGAAAATAACTCCTCTTCTGTCAAGTTCATACTCCTCAAGGGGAAACCAAGTTCCTGCAGCCAGAAATGCCCATGCAGTGATCCCCTGTGTTTTACAGGATATTTTCTTGCTAACTGCAATTGATCTGCCATGAACAGTTCTTACAGAAAACTGCAGCCAGTCAGTCCACCTCATGCAGCAATGTGTGTTCTGAGTGACTCCCATCTAAATCCAGAGACACAAAATTCCTACTAAATTAAAACAGTTGACATATCTCTGCCTTTTCTGAGAGAAGATTGACAAACAGAAATTGTTTCTATTTAGCTGGGGGACAGTTTCATGCATTCACCTAGAGAATTCATTGACACAATCCACCATCTGACACAGTGAATTCCATTGTTATGGGAGAACACCTCATATCTACAGTACTAGGAAATGTGAGATGTATAATTCATCACTTATCTACAGTCACGAGAAATTACTCAAGAAATTTACTCAATTATAACTGATAGAAACATATTCCATTGTGGTAAACACCATGACAGAGTCTCCCACCAGGTCTGGAGGGCTGTCAGTTGTATAAGAGACGCTGTGTCCCCAGGGAGAACAAATGGCAGGACTGCACCATGGTGAGAAGAGGGAGGTCCTGTCTGGGCAAGCACGACTGGGGGTCTCTGATGACTGTGTTTTCAAGGAGTTGGCAGGTTGGGCCTTGGTGGGTCCATGAAGAAACGGCTTGTGAAACCAGTTGGACACAGGGAGATGGGGGGGTAACTAAACAGCACAGAGAGAGGTTTCCATGGACGTGATCTGAGTGAAGACAGGGGCTCTTCTAAAATGACTCAGCTTCACACATGGGAGGGGAGGAATTCGAGAGGGCAGTGGTGGGGCAGTTGTGCCAGCCGGACACGACAGATAACCTCTCACGTGTCGATGAACTCACAGCCCTGTGACTGCATTAGTACCAGGAATTGATTGCAACAACACGGTATTTTCTTCTTAGAATAAAACCACAGACAGATGCAAGACAAATCAACAGAGAATTGTCCCTTCAAAATAGGTTTCATAAATTTAAATTGACAAATAGTACTGAATCTCTACGTGAGGTATAAGGAAAGGTTTGATGTGGATTTATTTCATCAGGAATTCTAAAGTCAGATGAACTCACAAGTCTTCCCTAGCAACACTAACCATTCTTTTGTGATCGAATGACAAATGCCTATCCTGCAGGAACTGGAAAGAACACAATAAAGCTTCATAACTGTTGTCCCCGTGCTGTGCAGTAGATCTCTCGACGTGCCTCTTCTGGTAACAGAAAACCTCTGTGCTTGCAGGAATGTGGTCCCTTTTCTTCTCTTCTCCCAGAGCTCAGTATCTGCATTGTACTTCCTGCTTCTGTGAGCTCACGATTGCGGATTCCACATATAATTAAGATCATCAGGGCCAGTGATGTGGTGTAGTGGGTAAAGCCTTCAGTGCTGGCATCCCATATGGACGCCAGTTGGAGTCCTGGCTGTTCCACTTCCAATCCAGCTCCCTGCTGTGGCCTGGGTAGGAAGTAGAAGATGGCTTCCATCTTCAGTTCCCGTAATCCATGGGAGACCAAGTGCAGGCAACTGGCTCCTAGATTCAGATCAGTGCAGCTCCAACCATTGTTACCAATTGGAGAGGGAGGCCGTGGATGGAGGACTTCTCTCTCTCTCTCTCTCTCCCTCTCCCTCTCCCTCTCCCTCTCCCTCTCCCTCTCCCTCTCCTTCTTTCTTGTGTATCTCTGATTTTAAAGAAATTAAATAAATTTTTATAAAAATGAGAAAAATCCATGGTATGAAACCACAATTTTTCAAAAAAAAAAAAAAAACAAAATAATTAACCTTAAGTGAAGCCACTTGTACTCTTTCATCTGTTAAAAGTGGGCAGCAGGAATTAGGACACAATTGACTAAGTCCAAACACAGGCACCCTGTTCCCATATGAGTGGCTGCTCAGCTCATCCACACGGCTTCCCACACTTTGAAGATAAAAGCATCATGGAAACTGTACCTGATGCTACAAGTGAATGAGCTCCTACCACTGACGTAGGAAACACAGACTTTTGTTCTAGATTTAGGAAGACCAACTCCTAGATGTTGTAGGCATTTGGTATTGTTGAGCTGTCAATCCAAAGGGAAAATCTCCCATTGTCAACTCACTGTCCATCTCTACATTTCTGTTTCTCTCACCAATTCTCTCTCTGTCACTGTTCCAATGTCATTAGCATAGTTAATATGAAGCAAGGTTATTTTAAAATGAAGGACATGGTATTGCTAACAATGGACATTAAGGGCACACACATATTGTAATGAAACGAAGTCGTTGTCTACAACTGGTAAAAGAACAACGAGAAAAAAATTCATATGATCTGGAATCCTATCATAGCAATCACCCTACAACCCCAGGACACCACATCTGCACTGAGCCCTGTCCTGTCTGAGGCATCTGACCCCATGCCTGCTATATAGGGGCAGCACATGGCAAATAGGGCCTCCCTCTGCCCATGAAACCAGCCCAGCCCTCACCCTGCAGCTCTGGCACAGGAGCTCCAGCCCCAGCCACTCCCAGGTGTCACTCAGTGATCGCACTCAACACAGACGCTCACCATGGAGACTGGGCTGCGCGGGCTTCTCCTGGTCGCTGTGCTCAAAGGTAATGATGGGGGAAAGCGGGCACTGAGTCTGGGAGAGGACGTGAGTGAGAGACACAGAGAGTGTGCGTGACAGTGTCCTGACCAGGACGTCTGTGTTTGCAGGTGTCCAGTGTCAGGAGCAGCTGGTGGAGTCCGGAGGAGGCCTGGTCACGCCTGGGGAATCTCTGAAACTCTCCTGCAAAGCCTCTGGATTCATCATCAGTAGCAGCTACTGGATGTGCTGGGTCCTCCAGGCTCCAGGGAAGGGGCTGGAGTGGATCGGATGCATTTATACTTGTGATGGTAGCACATACTACGCGAGCTGGGTGAATGGCCGATTCTCCATCTCCAGAGAGAACACCCAGAACACGGTGTCTCTTCTAATGAACAGTCTGACAGCCGCGGACACGACCCTGTATTACTGTGCAAGACAGCTGAGCCCAGACACAAACCTCCCTGCAGGGGCTCCCGTCTCCACCAGGGGGCGCACAAGACTCACTGAGCGCAGATTCTGGTCATGCACAGGTGCAGAGTGGGATGAATCCTGGTTCCTGTCAGGGAATTGGGGTTTCCTCTCCTGTAAGAGTTTTGAGGGAAGAATTCCACTTTTAGGATTCTGACCCTGCTGATTCTCGACGTGGAGAAGTTTGATGTGAACAGGAGAAGTCCTATATGAACGAATCCAGGCTCAGCGGTCTCCAGGATCACCAGGATCAGATGTGGGACAATCTGGGGACATCGTGAGTGTTGTCCAGTCTGACAGAATAACTCTCTCAGGGCACTGCCAACTTTAGGGATATTTTACATTTCCCTTTCTATCCAGCGATAGCTGAGCGAGGGTTTGGGTTTAAAAATCGGCTATTTAATATCTCTCACCTGTCAAAATGAGCGAGTGTGCTGAACTAACCAACCTTTCATTTTACACTGGTGGTGATAAACACCTACTTTCCACAGACTTATTCACAATCTCCATTTACCATTTAATCCTAACACAGTCTGTGATCCTTGTGTGAACATCACAGCACTCAGGAATGTACTGCAGCTCAGCTGTGTCTCAGGCGGAGCTTCTGCAGGCACCTGGAAGCCTACAGGGACTTCCTCATCCTCTAGGTCCTGGGACCCTCCTGTGGGCACCCTGCCTGACTCAGGTGGGAAATGCACTGGACATCAGCAGTCAAGGACATCACTGAATGGAAAGTGTTGAGTGTGCACTTCCAGCTGATCTGGTTCTGTCACGTGTTGTGAGACCCCCTGCACCTGCTGTGGTTCAGGGAGAGCAGAAAGTGGGACACACAGTGGCTGTGCACTCTGGAGCTGGAGTCCACATCACGGGGAGCTGTGTCTGTGGCTCCAGCATGATGACCAGTGTCCTGAGGCTGGATCACAGCTGCAGGAAGAGCCAGTCTCGGAGACCAGGTATCCAGAGTCCCTACTCTTCACTCCATGTCTATGCTGGCTGGAATCATCAATCGATTTGGAATCCTTCATCAGTTTTAGAGAGGGAGACATCCATGCTGCATATCAGAGTGCTGGACTGAATATATTTACATTCTTTCTTTTTTTTTTTTTGACAATCAGATTTAGACAGTGGGAGAGAGAGAGAGAGACAAAGATAAAAGTCTTTGTTCCATTGGTTCCACCAAAATGGCCACTACGGTCAGCATGGTGCACCGATCCAAAGCCAGAAACCAAGTGCTTCCTCCTGGTCTCCCATGCAGGTGCAGGGTCCAAGCAGTTGGGCCATCCTCCACTGTCTTCTCAGGCCGCATCAGAGAGCTGGAGTGCAAGAGGAGCAACCAGGACAGAATCCAGCGCCGGTAAATGGGACTAGAACCCAGATTAGCCTAGTGAGCCACGGCACTGGCCCACATTTACATTCTTAACCACACTTGTAACTGACAGTGCACCCTGGAAGACAGCAGATGATGGATCTGTTATGAGGCCCCATCACCAAGGTGGGAAACACTGATGCAGTTCCATGTTCCTGGGTTCCAGCTGCCAAGCCTTGAGTGCACTGCCTTTGTTATTCATCTCCATAAAACATTGGCAACACAACACCAGTATTCAGAGTATTGAATCTTCATGATGTACCATTTTTGCCCATTTCATTATCATAATGTTTGATAAATAATAATTGAATATAGACATATGAGTACAATGATATTGTTGTAAAACGAATGTATCACATTGAGTGGAATTATGAAGTCACTCCTATTGACATGCTCATCACAAAATCCACATGTTCACATGGTAGATTGTCAGTAGTCTTCTGTTTTGGAATTCTGTAGGACACATATTTGCTTAACTGCTGTCACCATGCTGTGCAGTAGATCCCTCAACATGTGGATCCTGTGGGACTGAAACTCTGACCTTGCTCCAAGTCTCCTCTGTTCCATGCCCTTTTCTTCCATTATTGATTCCTTCTTCCATGGAAAATTTTCACTGGATTATATGTGTGAACACTCGCGAACAATGCTGCTTTAATTGCACATGGAACTGCAGTTGTATTTTTCTATAGAGGACTGTGAATCCCATGCACATCTCCCTGGGATTTCACATTCCTGCTACCCAAATGCTGTTGAAGATCCTGTGATAACTGTATGTCTCAGTTTTTGATGACTTTCCATAGTGGATTTACTAATTTACCCGGACTCCAGCCTTGTCCAACCAGAGTGGTCATCTCTCTTCCTTCACAGAATTGTCAGCTCTGGCTTGTCTGGTAATACTCATTCTAACATGAAGGATGGGACATCTCATTGTGCTTCTAAAATGTAATACATGATGATCTGAGATTTATGGCATTTTACATGTTTGCTTTTATATCATTTCTTAAATTTTATAGATGCAATATACATTTAAAAATTCATAGATTTTGTTTTAAAATTTGTATGTACGTTTTTATCTAAAACCACAAAGACTGAGACTGACAGTGATCATCTAACTCCTGGTCACTTCCCAGGTGGCTACAAACGCTTCAGCTGGAACAGGTGACAGCCAGGTACTTAGAATTCATTCCAGGTCTCCAACGTGGGAGTTCTTGGAACTTCACCTACGGCCTCCCAGAGTGGGCTTAGGCAGGAATCTGAAACTGGAACAAAACTAGGACACAGCACTCAGCATCCTGATGCGGGAGCAGCAATCCCATTGCTAACTCCAGTGCTTGCTCCTGTCACCACCTTGTCAGTAACTGCATTTAACAATTGATGTCTTCCCTTGGGATTCAGTTTTCTGTGTTTATTCAACATATGCATATAGGCTTCTAATGACATATAAAATTAATTTTCCATTTATTTAATATCTATTTATTTAGTTTAAAAGGCAGTGTTATAGCAAGACAGAAAGAGACCAACAGATGGAGAGGGAAGCTTCCTTCCACAGGTTTCCTTCCTGAATGGCTGCAAAGGCTGGGGATGGCTGAGCCTGAAGCCAGGAGCCTGGAACTTCCCCGAGTTTCCCACAGAGCTGGAAGGGGACAAACACTTGGGTCATGGTAGACAGTGATCTCCATTGCACTCCCTACCTCTGTGAGTTCAAGCTTGTGGACTGCATATATAACTAATGTCAAATACTATGTGTCCACGTGTACCTGCATTATTTCTGTTAGCATATTATGCTCAAGGCTGACCCAAGATTTCCTAATGACAAAACAATCTCCTTCTTAACACTGAATAATATTCCATGTCAAATGTAACAGACTGCATTCACCGTTTTATGCACATTTGGCTTTGTTGTAGACTGAACTATTGTGAACACAGCTGCATTACCTGAACCCAGGACTGTGGGTGAATTGTGACACAGTGACTTCATACCCAGTGCTTGAGCTGAACTCAGAGTCATGATTACTAGACACAGGGAAGAGAGGGAACAGCAGACGGCTGCTACCAGGACACAAAGCACCACTCAAAGCAAGGGCTGACTCAGTTCACTACAACCCACGACATGTTCCACAAATAAGCAGTACTGAGGACACCCAGTCTCCCAACACAAAGTGATGGAACGGAGGTAGAAATGTGAATGACAGTGAGTTGATCTGTGCCCATTTCTGCAACACACAGATTCCAATAGCACACTACACCCCACTAACATGCACAGTGTTCTGAGTTAATGAACAGTTTTAAAATAAGGTAATGGATGAATAAGGAAACAAGACATAGTATCCTTAAATGAATCCACTTGCAGTCTTTCATCTGTGTAATATGGGCGGCAGGCATTAGGACAAAATTGGCAAAGTCCCCACTAGGGACAACTCGTGTTCCCATCAGAGTGCTGCTTGAGCCCAGCCACACGGCTTCCCACACTTTTTCCTGATAACACATCGTGGTAAACTACAGATGACGCTATAGCGATAGAGCCCCTACAACCAACAAAGGAAACACAGACGCAGTTCTGGGATCCAGGTTTTAGAAAGGCTAACTCCTAGATGTTGTAGGCATTTGGGGAGTTTGCGGCTGTCAATCCAAAGACAGAAATCTCCCATTTTCATCTTTGCTGTCCATGACTACACTTGTGTTTCTCTCACCCCTTCTCTCTATCACTATTCCAATGTCTTTCATAAAGATGATATAGAGGTCAATAGATGATATGAAACAATTGTTATTTAAAAAACGAAGGACATGATATTGCTTACACTGGATATTAAGGGTATACACATATTAAAAGGAAACAAGGTCATTGCCTTCAACTGTTATAAAAAAGCAATAAAACATAAAAATTCATATGAACCAAATCCTATCATAGCCTACACCCACAGGACATGTTCATCTGCCCTGGGCCCTGTCCTGTCTGAGACGTCTACCCCATGCCTGCTATATAGGGGCAGCACATGCAGATAGGGCCTCCCTCTGCCCATGAAAATCAGCCCAGCCCTCACCCTGCAGCTCTGGCACAGGAGCTCCAGCCCCAGGACTCCCAGGTGTCCACTCAGTGATCGCACTCAATACAGACGCTCACCATGGAGACTGGGCTGCGCTGGCTTCTCCTGGTCGCTGTGCTCAAAGGTAATGATGGAGAACGCGGGCACTGAGTCTGGGAGAGGACGTGAGTGAGAGACACAGAGAGTGTGCGTGACAGTGTCCTGACCAGGACGTCTGTGTTTGCAGGTGTCCAGTGTCAGCAGCTGGAGCAGTCCGGAGGAGGAGCCGGAGGAGGCCTGGTCAAGCCTGGGGGATCCCTGGAACTCTGCTGCAAAGCCTCTGGATTCTCCCTCAGTAGCAGCTACTGGATATGCTGGGTCCGCCAGGCTCCAGGGAAGGGGCTGGAATGGATCGGATGCATTTATGCTGGTAGTAGTGGTAGCACTTACTACGCGAGCTGGGTGAATGGCCGATTCACTCCCTCCAGAGACATCGACCAGAGCACAGGTTGCCTACAACTGAACAGTCTGACAGCCGCGGACACGGCCATGTATTACTGTGCGAGAGACACAGTGAGGGGCCCTAGGGCTGAACCCAGACACAAACCTCCGTGCAGGGGCGCGCGGCTCCACCAGGGGGCGCACAAGACGTACCGAGAGCACATTCTGGTCTTGAGCAGGTGCAGGAAGAGATGAAGCCCTGGTTTCCTGTCAGGGAATTGGGGTTTCCTCTCTGGTAGCCGTTTTGAGGAATTAATTCTACTCTTGTTATTCTGACCCTGCCGATGACTTCAGTGACGGTGATAAAGTTTGATGTGAAAGGAAGGAGTCGTTAATGAACAAATTCAGTTCATAAACAAGGACAGCAGTCACCAGGATCAGAGATCCTGGGAATCTGAGGACCCTGGTGATTCTTTTCCAACCTGACTCAGGACAGCGCCCTAGGGCATTGCCGATTTTAGGACAATTTTAGTTTTCCCTTTAGAACCAGGGACAGTAGAGCTAGAGTTTCTGTTCTGGTAAACCTCAACTACCTAAGTCATCCCTCTCCTCCCATTAAAATGAGCATGTGTACTGAACTGAACCTACATTTTTTTTAATCTGTGGGTGATGCATATTTCTACAGATTGTGCCCACATCGCCATTTTCTTTTTATTCCTAAAACATTTAATTGTTCCTGTGTGAATGTCACAGCACTCAGGAATGTATTTGCTGCTCAGCTGTGTCTCAGGCTGGGCTTCTGCTGGCAACTGGGGAGCCCACAGGGACTTCCTCATCCTCTAGGTCCTGGGACCCTCCTGAGGGGCTCCCTGCCTGGACTCAGGAGGGAAATGCACTGGACAACAGCAGTCAAGGTCATAACTGAATGGAAAGTGCTGGGTGTGCACTTCCAGCTGATCTGGTTTTGCTCCAGTGTCGTGAGACCCCCTGCACCTGCTGTGATTCAGGGAGAGCAGAAAGTGCGACACACAGTGGCTGTGCACTCTGGAGCTGGAGTCCACATCACGGGGAGCTGTGTCTGTGGCTCCAGCATGATGCCCAGTGTCCTTGGCTGGATCACAGCTGCAGGAAGAGCCAGTCCCAGAGACCATTTGTCCAGAGTCCCTGCTCTTCTCTCCATGTCATGCTCACTGGCATCATCAATGCATTTGGAATCTTTCCTCAGTATTATATAGGGAAACACCCAAGCTGCATACAGAGTGCTAGATGGAGCCCATTTACATGCTTTCCCACACTTGTAACTGACAGTGCACCCTGGAAGACAGTAGATGATGGATCTGTTATGAGGCCCCATCACCAAGGTGGGAACACTGATGCAGTTCCATGTTCCTGGGTTCCAGCTGCCAAGCCTTGAGTACACTGCCTTTATTTATCATCTCCAAAAACGTTGGTTAACATGGCTAACACAACACCAGTATTCAGAGATCTGAATCTATCTGTTTGGTAAATAATACCTGAACATAGAGATATGAGGTACCATTATATGTGCTGACAAAATGAAGTTATATTGTGAGAAATAATGTTCTCAGATTTAGTGACATGTTCATCACTAAATGGACATTATTTTCATGATAGAGTGTCAGTTGTCTCCCGTTTTGGAATTCGGTAGACACAGTATTCTCTTAACTGCTGTCCACTTGCTTACAGTAGACCACACAACAGTGGATCCTGTCGGACTAAACATCTGTCCATGCTCCAGCATTCATCTCTGTTTCTACCATGTTCAGACCTTTGGTCTTTACCATTGTGCTTCCCCCCTGCCTCTGTGAGTTCATCCTTTTATCACCACGTAACTAGCATCACCTATTATTATCTCTCTTGGCATGGATGGTTAGCAGTTAGTTAGTTCAGTTAGCTAGCTAGCTAGTTAGAGTGTAACTTATCCTGACACATATCCTTGGACATTATTTCCCAGGATCTACAAGTTTCCAAGATATTCATATTTTCCTCCTGTTTATGCCATATAAATGTCCTGTTAAAATATAACTTTGTCCACTTGTCCCTTTATCCATTCCTTCTTCACTGTAAATTTCACTGGTTTATATGTGTGAACTCTTTTTTTTTTTGACAGGCAGAGTGGACAGTGAGAGAGAGAGAGAGAGAAAGGTCTTCCTTTGCCGTTGGTTCACGCTCCAATGGCCGCCGCAGCCAGCGCACTGCGGCCGGCGCACCACGCTCATCCGATGGCAGGAGCCAGGTGCTTATCCTGGTCTCCCATGGGATGCAGGGCCCAAGTACTTGGGCCATCCTCCACTGCACTCCCTGGCCACAGCAGAGGGCTGGCTTGGAAGGGGGCAACCGGGACAGAATCCGGTGCCCCGACCGGGACTAGAACCCGGTGTGCCGGCGGCGCAAGGCGGAGGATTAGCCTAGTGAGCCGCGGCGCCGGCTATGTGTGTGAACTCTTGCAAATGATTCTGCCTTAACTGAACATGGGACTGCAGATTTCATTCCCATAGTGACTGCGCATCTTGTGGACACCTCCCTGGGATTTCATATTCCTTCTACCCAGGAATGGTGTTTGAGGATCCTGTGATAATTCTGTTTCCCAGCCTCTGATGTTTTCCATGAAGGCTTTACTAACTTACTTGACTCCAGCCTTGTACCAGGTTATCATCTCTCTCTTCCTGCACAAGATTTGTCAGATCTGGTATGTCTGAAAATACTCAGTCTAACAGGAGGGATGGGATGTCTCATTGTTTCTCCAACATAAACATGAATGAAGATTCCATATTTAAAGCATTTTTACATGGTTGCCTTTATATATTTAATTTAAAAAATTACAGATATACTTTTACATCTTGTCAAATTTGTATTTGGGTATTTGTCCAAAAAGACAGAGACAGAGACTGACAGACAGTGATCTACTGAATCCAGATAACTTCCCAGATGCCCATAAAAGCTGAGTTGGGTCAGACCATAGCCAGGTGCATGGAACTCAGTCCAGGTCTCACACATGGGATAAACTCAGACTTCTCGTACTGCCTCCCGAGTGCACATTGACAGGAATCTGAAATTGGACCCAAACTAGGACACAACACTCAGCATCTTGATGCAGGAGCAGGAATCCCACATGCTAACTCCAGTGCTGCTCCTGTCACCACCTTGTCAGTCACTGCATTTAAACAATTGGTTTCTTCCCTTGGGATTCAGTGGCTTGAGTTCATTCAACATTTGGAAATAGGCTCCTAACCATATGTATAATTAATCTTTCATTTATTTTAAATGTCTATTTAGTTTATTTGAAAGACTGTGTAATAGAGAGAGAGGAACACAAAAGGAGCTGAAGAGAGAATCTTCCATCACTGTTTTTTTTTTTCCTGAATGGCTGCAAAGGCTGGGATGGCTGAGCCTGAAGCCAGGAGCCTGGAACTTCCTCCAGTTTCCCACAAGGCTGGAAGGCAACAAACACTTGGGTCATGGTAGACAGTGATCACCATTGTGCTTCCTCCCTCTGTGAGTTCAAGCTTGTGGACTGCATATATAACTAATGTCACATACTATGTGTCCACATGTACCGGGATTATTTCTGTTAGTATATTATGCTCCAGGCTGACCAATGATTTCGTAATGACAGAAAAACCCCTTTCTTAATACTGAATAATATTCCATATCCAAATGTGAAAGAATCCAGTCACTGTTCTATGCACACTTGCTTTATTGTAGACTGAACTATTGGGAACAAAGCTGCAACCTGAAGCCAGCACTGCGGGTGAATTGTGACACAGTGACTTCATACCCAGTGCTTGACCTGAACTCAGAGTTATGATTACTAGACACAGGGAAGAGGGGGGAAAAGAAGACGACTGCTACCAGGACACAAGGCACCACTCAAAGGGAGGAATAATTATGTAGACACCACAGTGGGCTGACTCAGTTCACTACAACCCATGATAGGTTCCATGAATAACTAGAACAGAGGCCTCCAGACCTCCCAACTCAGTGTGAAGGAAAGGAGGTGGAAATGTGAATGACATTCAGTTGATCTGTGCCCATTTCTACAACACACAGATTCCAATAGCACACTACACCCCACTACCATGTACAGTGTTCTGTGTTCAGGAACAGTTTTAAACTAAGGCAATGAATGAATAAGGGAACAAAACATAGTTAACCTTAAAAAATCCACTTGCAGTCCTTCATCTGTTTAAATATGGGTGGCAGGCATCAGGACAAAATTGGCTAAGTCCCCACTAGGGTCACCCATGTTCCCATGAGAGAACTGAATGAGCCCAGCCACACGCCTTCCCACACTTTTTTTCTGATAATGCATCATGGGAAACTGTAGATGATGCTAAGAGCAAATGAGCCCCTACCACGGACCTGGGAAATACAGACACAGTTTTGGGCTCCAGGTTTTAGAAAGGCTAAGTCCTAGATGTTGTAGGCACTTGGGATATTTGGGGCTGTCAACACAAAGGCAGAAATTTACCATTGTCATCTTTCTGTCCATCTATACATTTTGATTTCTCTCCCACCTTCTCTCTCTGTCACTGTTCCAATGTCATTCAAATAGTTAATAATGATCTAATGGTTATTTGAAAAATGAATGACATGATATTGCTAACACTGGATATTAAATGTACCACATATTAAATGAAGGAAGTATTACCTTCCACAGTTATGAAAATTTCCACTTGATCTGAATCCAAATATAGATATCATTACTATTCTCCCAGGACACCCACTCTGCCCTGGGCCCTGTCCTGTCGGAGGCATCTGACCCATGACTGTTAAATAGCAGCAGCACATGCAAATAGGGCCTCCCTCTGCCCGTGAAAATCAGCCCAGCCCTCACCCTGCAGCTCTGGCACAGGAGCTCCAGCCCCAGGACTCCCAGGTGTCACTCAGTGATCGCACTCAACACAGACGCTCACCATGGAGACTGGGCTGCGCTGGCTTCTCCTGGTCGCTGTGCTCAAAGGTAATGATGGGGAACGCGGGGCACTGAGTCTGGCAGAGGACGTGAGTGAGAGACACAGAGAGTGTGAGTGACAGTGTCCTGACCAGGACGTCTGTGTTTGCAGGTGTCCAGTGTCAGGAGCAGCTGGTGCAGTCCCGGGGAGGCCTGGTCCAGCCTGGGGGATCCCTGAAACTCTCCTGCAAAGCCTCTGGGTTCGACCTCAGTAGCTATGCAATGTGCTGGGTCCGCCAGGCTCCAGGGAAGGGGCTGGAGTGGAATGGAGAAATTAATTCTAATGCTGGTAGCACATGGTATGCGAGCAGGGTAAATGGCCGATTCACCGTCTCCAGAAACAACGTCAAGAGCACGCTGGATCTGCAAATGAGCAGTCTGACAGCCGCGGACACGTCCCTCTATTACTGTGCAAGAGACACAGTGAGGACCCTCAGGCTGAGCCCAGACACAAACCTCCGTGCAGGGGCGCGCGGCTCCACCAGGGGGCGCACAAGACGCACTGAGCAGACTCAGATCATTCCCAGATGCAGTGGGAGGTGAATCCCTGGTCCTCCTGAGGAAATTGGGGTTTGTGGTCCTGTAACTATTTCTTATGTTCCAGTTCTGCATGGATGATTCTGTCCCTAACACCGATCACTGAGCAGAAGTTTTGGTATCACGGGAAGACGTCATGAAAAATGGAGTCGTTTTAAAGGAATGAATGACATCTCTGGGGTCCCCAGCATCTGAGACCTGAGGGAGCTCTGGGCACACGGGGAGGCTTTTCCAGCCCGAGTCACGGAAGAGCTCTCCATGGTATTCTCTGATGACGTCTTCGGGGACCCTGCTGAGAGCCGAAGGGCAGTGTAGAGCCGGTCAGGGGCTATGAATGCTGCAGTGTTTCACATCCATGCCCTCCCCTCCTGCACGGCTGGGCCCTGAGGGGTGAGATGACCCCGTGGTCCTGGTCCTGGGGCTCCCGTGTCCATTCTCTACAGCTGTGCCCTCGTCTCCCTTTCACTTCTTCACCCTGAACTCACAGGTTGAGGTCCACGTGGTCCAAACCCCAGGTCAGGGATTAACCTGCAGCTCAGGGGTGGCTCAGGCTGTGGCTCTAGAAATTGCTGCACTTCCTCACTCACGTCTGCTGGGATCCCGGACCTGCTCTCATTTGCAAGCAGAGGTGGCCGTTGGTTGCGGGGTCAGACTCATGGAAAACACTGGGTGTGGAGAGGTCTTGTTCCCCACACTCTGCTGGCCTTGTCTCCATCTCAGGGAGACCAGCAGGTGGGACAGCCCAGTGAAGTCTGCACTAGAGTCCAGGTGGTTCTGGACTGTGTCCCTGTGAGCCCACCAATGATCCAACCCTGGAGCTGCATCCCTGCTGCATCTTGAAGGGCCTGCCCCAGAGACTGTGTGTCCAGAGACCCCGACTCCTTCCTCCAGGGACTGCCCGCACCTGTTCTCAGCCATGCTCCTCCTTCTGTGGAAGCAAAATTGTCCTTCAACTCTCAACTTTATCATCATCAGGAATGAACAAATTTTCTGCTCTTCACCAGGATAACTGCATCAACCCCATGTGCTCACAAAATGTCTCCTGCAAAATGCAATTGTTCTCTCGTGTAGTATTTTTACAGAAACTGAAGCAATTCTCTCAGCTGATGTAGAAATGACTAATTCTGAGTGGTTCTGTCTAAATCTGGAGACAAAGGAGAGTCTCTGTTTCAGGTGGGAACAGATGAATGGCTAGTATGTCGCTATGCACCTGGTTTTTTTTCCCATGTTGGTTCCATAATGTAGTACCCCAGAGGGGAGGTGTGTGGAGCTCACAGCTGTAGAGGCTGAAGTCCAGGATCAGACAGTGAGAATGTTGTGCCATCAGGCATCCTAATATTGTGAACATCATACAGTGTTCAGGCATCCTAATATTGGGAACAGGGATGGGAGGGACCCCATCCCCACACAGGACGTCAGACGAGACCAGGGCTCACTCTAGCAGCACTGTGCTCTATGCAGAACCTGAGGACCCAAGAGATCTACTGTGATCTCCTCCATAGCAGATTCCCCAGAAATGAACAAATCCCACTAGGCCTCACTCGCAGAGCTCCCCTACTTCTCCCACGGTCACCCTGGAATCACTCCAAAACACACACCTTTGAGGACACACTCTGCCACAGGCAGAGGAGGGAGGTTTCCTTCCACACGCATTGTAGGCCTGATGACACAGAACCTGTTGTTCAGGATGAAGCCAGTAAAACAGGTATTTTGAGACTTTAGAAGACTCAGGGCCAGTTTTAAACACAGCTCATACAGAGAGTCCTTTTGTTCCTTTGGGATACAGGCTACTGATCATACATTCTGTATGAAAATAGTTACTTCCATGTGTGTAGGCTGCTCACTTCTCATCGGTCCACTTGCAGTAGAGAAGCTCTGTAGTTTATGCAGCATCATCTGAAAAGGTTTTCTTACGTTGCCTGAACTCTGGAGATCTAAAAGGGAAATCATGGACAGACCACTATCAGGGAGATTCTGCCCTATATCCTTCTAGTAGTTGTACAATGGACTTTGCATCTGATGTCAGATCCTGGTTATTCCAAGCTTTTCATGTAAACATCCAGACCGTGAACCCCTGCCAGTGCTGTTACGTTGGGGCCATGCTCAGCAATGATGCTGTGAGGACAAACCACATCCACCCTCACAGGCTGCTCCCAGCATTCCGTGTGGTCCCGTTCAGGGCACTGGAGACCTCAGCTTCCTCCATGAGGCCCTGACGTTGAATCTACTCATGGTGGGAGTCGACACTAGATGCACTCCCAAGAGACGATGTCATTCCACGTCTCCCAGGCACCTGTGCTAGTTTTACTCAGTGGTGGTCAGTGTGGGGGTTCGGGGGCAAGGACACCTGATCAGACCTCCTGACTCAGTGTCTCCTGCAGGCAGTGGGGCCCCAGTGTGGCCCTTCCACCTGTCCTTACCCTCCTGCAGAGGAAGATCCCACCCTCCACCATGTCCTCTCCTCCTGCTGCTGGACCCTGTCCCGATGTCACTTCCCCATTGCCATGTTCTCCTCCCCAGTCCTCAGCTTTGGGGTGGAGCCATCCCCTGAGGATGCAGACTTCTGTGTCTTGGGGATCAGTGCTGGCACAGTGTCTGGGGTGGACTCTGCTCACGAACATTTTCTACAGGATTCCACCAGGACATTGGTCATGATGGTTTCCTCCTGCAGGTGAATCACTTTCCTACTCAGTGGACACAGAGGAGCAGGGTCTGGGGTATTGAGGCTGAGGATGCTGTTCCTGCAGAGCCGTGAGCAGAGCCAGCACTGCTTGGTGTGTGTGTGGTCTCTCCAACTAAGCAGCTGAAGGCTGCAGTTAGGTGGAACTTACCTCCATACTTGATGCACGGAGCCTCCCATCATGCATGGGGACCTCACCACCCAGTGATCCCATTGAGAGGGCTTTAGGGAGGGGAAAATACCATGAGGGTTGCTGCCTGCAATGAAGGGAATACGACCCTTAGAGAGACCCTCCCATACATTTGTGGTTCCTGGGCTGCAGGAACAGGAATCTGGTATTGGGTGCAGAGTCACATGTAAGACCCTTGCACTCCCTTGGGGGAGGTGCATCTTAAACAATGCAACTTTCATTTTATTATTTACCTTATATCCATGAAATTTGATAACAGAGTTAAGATTAATGTGCTGCACATTTTCCAAAATATAATATACTTACTTAATTTGTTTCAATTTACTTATCAGATTTTCAGATATTTTGGTTAAAAACTAATAAACCCTCATTCACCTGTGCCCTACAGGATCTGCAAACTCAGGGCCTTCGACTTCTGCCCCTGGAAACCTACATGATGCTCAGCGCTGACTGGATGAAATCGTTGTGAAGGAGCCCAAAGGGGCTCAGGCCTTATGTGACTGGGGAGGTGGGCCAGGGCAGGTGACAGGGGCAGTGGACAGCACCTGTGGATGTATATTTGTTCTTGGTGTAGTTGTGATGAGGAGTGAGAGAGGCACAGGTGAGTCGCACTCACACACACTTTCAACATGTGGGCTGCCTCTGTATCTATCACAACTCGACAGCATTGGGAAGCAAATTGCCCAGCAGAGAAAGTGTGAAGAACAGACAGACAGACCAGCACGTGGAACACCACACTAAGATGCACCTGCATGAAACCTGGTCCCCTGTGCATCTCTCTGTCAAAAACAGAATCCAGCCAAAGTGCTCCATGTTCATGAACTAACTGTTGTGAATGAGGTCACTGTAGTTGGAGATGGGACTGCAAATGTCTAGACATGGTGCCCTCAGATCGCTTGGACACATCCCTCAGACTTCATATTCCCTGTAAGCAACAGCAGGATTTGGCATTTTTTAAAAAAGATTTATTTTATTTACTTTATTTATTTAAAAGACAGAGTTACAGAGAGAGGTAGAGAAACACAGAGAGAGGTCTTCCATCCACTGGTTCACTCCCCAGTTGGCCACAATGGCCGAAAATGTTCCGATCCGAAGGCAAGGGCCAGGAGCTTCTTGGGGTCTCCCAAGTAAGTGCAGGGGCCCAAAGACTTCTACTGCTTCCCAGGCCATAGCAGAGAGCTGGATGGGAAGAGGAGCAGCCAGGACTAGAACCAGCGCTCATTTGAGATGCCGGCGCTTCAGGCCAGGGCTTTCACCCAATGTGCCACACACCAGCTAAAGTATGAGATTGGTGAACTTTTGGGGTGGGAGTTCACGGACTGGCACTTTTTGGTCCATAACTGATATTTCATTGGTGTTAATATCCAGCACACAGGTGTTTTGATGTGTACTCAATTCTTAACACACACACACTAAAACCTAAAAAGCCATGAATTGCTTTTTTTAAAAAAAAAAGTTATTTCAATGACATTCGACTTCAAATTTGGAAGAAACACATTCATGGGCCAGTATCTTCAAAGATTGCTCTTAATAAATCCTACCCAGTCACAATTTAACATCATATACATGAAAAACTCCCTATTTCAACCTTTCATAGCACATTAACAAAATCATTAGGAAAACTGGACAACCACAACTGATGATGGCTGTTAGGTGGAGTGGAAAGTCCTGTGTGAGGAACAGAGGTGTAGAGTGTGGAGGTGCCTCCTACCAGACTAGAGCCCCTGGACACAGCACAGCCTGTCTGGATTCCTTCAGTAACTGTGCACGTGTTCAAGGGAGGTATCTCATGCCATATCACATTTCTGTGCTTGTGCAGACACAACACAGGGGCAGGCACTGTTGTGCAGTGAGCTGAGCCCTTGTTGGGAGCCCACACCCTGTGTTGGAGTGATGGCTCAAGAACCAGCCTCTCCACCTCAGGCCCTCCTTCCTGCTTTTGAAAAAGTAAACGTGGGGCCAGTGCTGGGGCATAGTATGTTGCAGACCAAATCTGCAGTACTGGCATTCCACATGTGCACCGGTTCAAGTCCCAGCTGCTCTACTTCCAATAGAGCTCACTGCTACAGCCAGGGAAAGCAGTAGAAGACAGCCCAAGTCCTTGGTTCCTTGTACCCGCATGGGAATCTGGAAGAA